AATATAACTATAATATTACTGATATATAAATGGTATTTGTCTGACTTGCTTGGACAGAGAATCCGGTCAATCCAATCCCAACCGCACACGTGTTGCATCACTTTACTCCGACAGGACCTGGCTATTTCCGATGACCAAAGCTAGCCGTCATGACGCATGACTTATCAAGGAAAGCGGAAAAGACTCCCAAAAAGGAAACGGCAATGAAATTCGTTTTTTTCTTTTTTTAATAAACGACCGAATTTATTTTTTTTTTAATAAAGATAATAATTAATAGATTAATTTTATTAGTTATTAATAACTGAAAATTCAATTCTCAAATTTGATAATCATTCCACCTTTGTCAGTCAGACGCGCAGCCAATCGAGTCGTTTGGTGGAGTTCAACGACCGAATTGGTTTGTTTATTCCTAATTAATTCGGCAAGGTCATGGTGAACACAATTTCATAAAGCTCAAACAAAACTACGTGATACAATTCCCACACTCCGGTTTAATAGCTAAAGTCTATTAGCTAGTAAGATTACTTCTCACACTCTAGCCTATAATTAAAGTTTATTAATTAGTGAGATTACTTCTCATAAGTTGTGTATTTAAACTTCATAAGATTTTTTTTTTTCTTCTTTTAAGATAAAAATAAAAGATAAAAACTTCATGGTACAGATTTGATCCTTGTTATTGTCACCATGAAAAAAATTAAGATTATTAAGTTTTTAATTTTTTAAATAATATTTAAAAAAATCAATTTGTTAATTAATTTTAATTTATTAATTAATAAATATTAATTATTTTATTAATTATTATTTATTTTTATCAATTAAATTTAATAAAATTAATATTTTTTAAAGTACAATTTTATAATTTGTAATAATCTTAATATTTTAATTGATAGTTATAACCCTAGATATGACCACACAAATCAAAATAAGATTTTTGTACAAAAAAAAAAAACTAGATATGATATTAGAAATCATCAATATATATTTATTTTACTTTATTAAATAATAATTATTAATTATTTTATTATTAATCAATTACAATTACATATAATTATAATTATTTTAATAACTAAATCAAATAATATTTTAAAAGACGTTGTTGTTTAAATTTGTGTAACCATAGCCAATCATACCCCTCATTATGATATCACATGTTTTTTGCGTGTTAATAGCAAAAAAAAAAAAAAAAATTGGACATACATGAAAAAAAAATCTTGTCAAAACTTTAAACAAAAATATTTATGAAAATTATATAGTTATAATGTTATATAATATTATAAATTTAATGTGTCATTATATAATTGATTTTTTTTAGTTAAAACTTTCATGTAA